CAGTCAGAAAGTGTTCCTCACACCACCGAACAAAAGTTTTGGTCTGCTGTCTGTAGCTGGTTAAATGTGATGTATCTGAAATGAGGCTGAGAATTGCTATGCAATTGTACATTGTTTTGTAAGAAAATGTGTTCAATAAACTGGAAGTCAGAGTAAGTTTGCAGAAAACCAACTGATTCCCTTCTAAAAATGTTCATTCAAAAATCTGATTCCTATACAGAAAACAGGCAGCCAGCAGCCGGCCTGTGTGTAAAAGATMTTGGTCTTATCAGAACCAAAACAATAACAACTCTCTGTAGCAGCACCGCRTCTGTCACCAGCTGCTCTAAAGGGGTAATGATGAATCCCCTGTAAGGTCACATGAATGGAAACCTGCCTTCAAGGTCACGCCCATGAGGCAGGACCTTTTATGTTAGACAACTTTGCTCAGATTACAGAGAACAACACAATGTTAGACCTTCCCTCTTTCTCTGTTTAAAGTATATTACTGTAAAGTGTAAAATACAAGACTGAATCTTAAATTCAGTTGATTTAAAAAAATTCCTTCAGTTTATTAAGAGGAACTACTGTTTGAATGAATATTCTTTGCTATGGACCTGCTGCGCCTGTCTGAGTGAGAATCTTGGCAAGGACTGTTGGCAGTTTTTTTTCTTTGTTTTTTTTGCCTGCAGTTTTAGAAAGTTAATAAAATGTCACAAACCAGAAGAAAATGCATAAATTTGATTTTATCTTAATTGTAAAAACATCCTTTAGCTGTACTGGCTGCAGACCTCCTGAATAAGTTTTAAAACATTACATTCAGATATTTCTCTTTTGTGAAATTCTCTGTTCTCATGTATTGTCCAGGCACATGGTTAATCTCTACACCACAATTAAATAACTGTTATCTTCAGCAGTTATGAAAACGCTGTATGTATCAAAAATTAATTTGAACATCATAGCCATCTAAACACCTTGAAATTGTCCTCTGTCTCTTTAAGAACCTCATACCATTTCTGACACTACCACTGCAGCACGTCTTCACAACAAGGCTTCAGGAGAGGGGTGCTCTGTGGGGCCGGAGCTCAGCTGCAGACTGAGCTCCAGGGAGGAGCTATGTACAAATGGGCGGTGCTTTGTACCAGCAATTGTTTAGGCAGCTCCACATGGCTACAACAGGAGATTCAAGTTTTTCTCTTTATTGTATGAATGAATGAAAGCAACACTCAGAGTATGTTTTGATGAGGAAAAACACATATAAAGCTGAAAAAAGTCCACAGTGACATAAATGATTATCTGTCTTATATTTTTAAAGTATTTCTGTGTGTAAAACAGTTCAAATGTATTTGAGTTTGTTGAGTGAATGCTACTGCACTCAACAAAAACTAATAAAGGCTGAACTGGTTCAAACTGGTCTTTGAATCAAAGAAACTGTTGCCTGTATGATTCTGTATAAAGAACTGAGTCAGAAACTGAGTCCAGACTTTATCTGATGGTGCCAACATGAAGGTCAATGCTTGTTATTTATCCAATCAAAGTCAAGAAAAAGTTTTAAAAGAATCCTGACATTCTTCAACTAAATCCTGAACTCTTGGCTGCGGCTCTAAACCTGACTGATTCCAGACAATAATATTTATTGATCAACTATTGTGCTATAGAGACTCTGACCTGGTCTCAGTCAGTTTGAGCTAAAGATCAGACAGACCACCAGATCTGGATTCCCTGGTTCTGTCCTGCTCCATCAGAATATCTACAGGGAAAAAAAACAATCCTCCTGACACCTGCTCTCTGATTGGTTAACAGGTATCAGTTTAACCAACTTCGCATGTAAATGCTCAACTAAGGTGAAAACGAGTGGTGATTTTAGGTTTCAGTTCATCCATTAATCTATTCGTTATCCGCTGCTTGTTCTGTAATTGAGTCATGAGGGCAGCAGCTAGAGCATGGAGACCCAGACCTCTCTTTCTACAGCCACCTCTTCTGGGAGGACTCCAAGGTCAGCCAACCATGGTGTCCTGAGACTTATCCTCCCAGTTTGACAAGACTAGAAAATCTCTATTATATCCTTAGACGCCAACAGCACCAGATCACAAAGCTAATGGTGCGTTCACACCGAACGCGATTTCAGCTTCAAAATCGCAGCCAACGCTGAAGTTTGAAGCTTGTGCACTTTGAGGNTCTGTCACCAGCTGCTCTAAAGGGGTAATGATGAATCCCCTGTAAGGTCACATGAATGGAAACCTGCCTTCAAGGTCACGCCCATGAGGCAGGACCTATTATGTTAGACAACTTTGCTCAGATTACAGAGAACAACACAATGTTAGACCTTCCCTCTTTCTCTGTTTAAAGTATATGACTGTAAAGTGTAAAATACAAGACTGAATCTTAAATTCAGTTGATTTAAAAAATTTCCTTCAGTTTATTAAGAGGAACTACTGTTTGAATGAATATTGTTTGCTATGGACCTGCTGCGCCTGTCTGAGTGAGAATCTTGGCGAGGACTGTTGGCAGTTTTTTTTTTTTGCCTGCAGTTTTAGAAAGTTAATAAAATGTCACAAACCAGAAGAAAATGCATAAATTTGATTTTATCTTAATTGTAAAAACATCCTTTAGCTGTACTGGCTGCAGACCTCCTGAATAAGTTTTTAAAACATTACGTTCAGATATTTCTCTTTTGTAAAATTCTCTGTTCTCATGTATTGTCCAGGCACATGGTTAATCTCTACACCACAATTAAATAACTGTTATCTTCAGCTGTTATGAAAATGTTGTATGTATCAAAAATTAATTTGAACATCATAGCCATCTAAACACCTTGAAATTGTCCTCTGTCTCTTTAAGAACCTCATACCATTTCTGACACTACCATTGCAGCACGTCTTCACAACAAGGCTTCAGGAGAGGGGTGCTCTGTGGGGCCGGAGCTCAGCTGCAGACTGAGCTCCAGGGAGGAGCTATGTACAAATGGGCGGTGCTTTGTACCAGCAATTGTTTAGGCAGCTCCACATGGCTACAACAGGAGATTCAAGTTTTTCTCTTTATTGTACGAATGAATGAAAGCAACACTCAGAGTATGTTTTGATGAGGAAAAACACATATAAAGCTCAAAAAAGTCCACAGTGACATAGATGATATCTGTCTTATATTTTTTAAGTATTTCTGTGTGTAAAACAGTTCAAATGTATTTGAGTTTGTTGAGCGAATGCTACTGCACTCAACAAAGACTAATAAAGGCTGAACTGGTTCAAACTGGTCTTTGAATCAAAGAAACTGTGTTGCCTGTATGATTCTGTATAAAGAACTGAGTCAGAAACTGAGTCCAGACTTTATCTGATGGTGCCAACATGAAGGTCAATGCTTGTTATTTATCCAATCAAAGTCAAGAAAAGGTTTAAAAGAATCGCTGATTCCACTGACTGATTCCAGACAATAATATATATTGATCAACTATTGTACTTTAGAGACTCTGACCTGGTCTCAGTCAGTCTGAGCTAAAGATCAGACAGACCACCAGATCTGGATTCCCTGGTTCTGTCCTGCTCCATCAGAATATCTACAGGGAAAAAACAATCCTCCTGACACCTGCTCTCTGATTGGTTAACAGGTATCAGTGTAACCAACTTCGCATGTAAATGCTCAACTAAGGTGAAAACGAGTGGTGATTTTAGGTTTCAGTTCATCCATTAATCTATTCGTTATCCGCTGCTTGTTCTGTAATTGAGTCATGAGGGCAGCAGCTAGAGCATGGAGACCCATCTCTCTTTCTACAGCCATCTCTTCTGGGAAGACTCCAAGGTCAGCCAACCATGGTGTCCTGAGACTTGTCCTCCCAGTTTGACAAGACTAGAAAATCTCTATTATATCCTTAGACGCCAACAGAACCAGATCACAAAGCTAAGATAAAATCCTGAGGTCACCAAACCGGACCTCTGCTGCCCTGACAATTCTGTCCATAAAMGTTATGAACAGAATCGGTGACAACAGGTTTCTGTCAGTACCTCTACAGCACGATGATTTGTTTGTTTACCTGAGGAGTCTGCATCTCCAGGTTCTCTCTGATGGGTTCTTGATGGTTCTTCACTCTGCAGCAACTCTTTTTCCCAAAACAAACACAAGAAACTCCTGCAGACAGAATGAGACATCAGTCACTTTATATTTAAAATGATACAATCAAACATGGCTGACAGAAAATTTGTAAACAGAACAGGTTGTTACAAATCAAGTTTCAGCTTTAAAAATACAAAATAATATTACTGACAAATATATGATTGATTTTTCATAAACATTTCAAACTAGAGGAAACTATAAAACCTTAACATCCAGTGTTTCATTTTTCTGTAGATACAGCGGGTAAAATAAGTATTGAACACGTCACCATTTTTCTCAGTAAATATATTAC